CTTGGCCCTGGGTATCATGTGCGGCACAGTCGGATATATCGGTACCAACGCATTTGTGCGAAAGATATATTCCACAGTCAAGATAGACTAAAATCATTGATTAAAGTATTTGTATCGTGGATTGTACAATATAATTCCTGAAAAGCGTGCGACGCTCGTTACTCTCGACGAGATGAAGTATGGTATATACTTTATTTGTTCAAAGCAGCTGTGTTATGTCACATCACTTGAGAGTGCAAGTCTTGTTTTTCAGTTTTACTCGATTAACATGTACTCCAGAAATGACACACGACGTGTGTTTTTCTTTAATGTATAATTATTCTTCCAACAGAATTTACGCCGTCGCGCGTTAGACATTGAAACGCCGTCTTCATTATGTATGTGTTTATTTCTTTTTCTTTTCATTTTAGTTTGCAGGTAATTTGATAAAAGTAAAGATACACTGTAAACGGATCCTACTGTACTAGTATGTGTGGGCGTGTTGCAAATGCAGTCGTCTGTCGATAATAAAATAATTGTAAATGTTAGAGTCAAATCTTGTATGAGTCCGAGCTATTATTATAAGAACAAAACTTCCGCAATCGTGCAATTGAATGTTTTCATACATTTTTTATGATCCATGTCGCTAAAGAGAATTGTAATATATATGTATATTTATTTATTTAATAATATATATATGTATATATATATATACAGAGTGTCCCATCTTAAGTGACAACATTAAACATTAATGCATAGGGAAAAATGTTTAAAAATTTTATGACTGAGATGTATCATTGTATTGTGGTTTGATCTTGGATGGTATTGTCAAAGTCCAAGGCAAGGTCGCTTTAAATTTTTTTAATAAAACCTTCCATTTTTTCTCATTCCATATTCTCATATCTTACGTTGTAACATTGATAACATTTATTAAAATCAAAATAATTGGAGGTTCTTATTTTCATTTTTGTAAATGTAAAATGAAAATTTAATAGAAAATATTTTATTACAGTGTTTTGATAAGCTCTTGAGATAAGCTATGAAAATATGGTCTAAAAAATGGGAAATTTTATTATAAAAATTCAGATACATTGCTCAAACCTTGTCAACGCCACCAAAGGTTAAATCAATGATACAATCTTATGTCCTTTCCGAAGTTACAAAATTTTTGTCTGAAATATTTTTTCCTAAAATGCACTGTACAAGAAATATTTGAGGTCATTTGAAATGGAATGTCCTGTGTATATACATGTATGCGTATATGTGTGTGTATATATATATAAGATGTTCTGAATTAATTAATCAAACCTCGGAAAATTTTCTGAAAATTACGTTCTGTGTTTTTTTTTGCGATTTTCTCCAAAACGAAGCAAAAACGATCAAATATCTAAAGAACTTTTTTTCTTAATTCGTCGATATCTCTTACACGTTCCTGAAGTTAAGCCATTTATATTCAAGACATCGTATGTGTGTATATATACATGTATATAAAATAATTACGATCACGATTGTTCTTTATCATATATTACAATATATGTCTTACTGTCTTGCGAATGACTCAGAAAATTAATTGAACCATCGTATAAAAATTAAGAAATCTTGATTTGTTTTCTGTTTAAAGTTTGTTTCATTTAACGTTCGCAAAGTTCATGAACATAATTTTATTCTCGTTATCGTTAAAAATTAAACGAGAACAAATTAATGCAAACGTTGCGAATGTTAAGTGGAACGCACCCTTAGAGGTTTTAGCTCGGATGATGAAATATAAAAAAATCATGACGTAAAAATAATTTTTTTCTACTTAGAGAACCTGGCTATGATCTATTCGATAAAATAAATGCTTTGGTCATGCTTTTATCATTTATTTTCAGGGGAAAATTATTTGAGAAGTGGCATTAGAATATTTCTTAATGATTAGTTTCTTTTCTCCAGGAAGTGGAATAAAACAGTTATTATTTTCCATTGAGGGCACTGTTTTAGCTGCGGAAAATCTGGCTGCCAGCTTTTGTTTAGCAGTTTCGTGTTCGTCTTTGGATATGAAGAAGACTGCAGTTTCAGGAAGATTCTTTTTCGCCCACTGGTAGAGAGACTGTGGAGTGAGAATAGGCTCTCCAGTAGTTATTTGCAGACTGGCGCGCCGGGCTCCCCTTTTCAATATCGTACCAATACCGTCGCATGCACCCTTTCCGTGCGCTGTGGCATGGAAGTGCCACTCCGCCTTTAGTCCAAAGTCTTCTTCATGGCACATCAGATTGGCAAACTGGAATCGGTTTTTGTAGTACTGCTCCGCCCCATCAGTGATGTAAATCACTGTTTTAACAAAACAAGTGGCCTTGATATTTTCAATGACGATTTTTTGGAAAAGATATACGGCTGATGTGTCATGAAGAACACTATCAGACAATACCACAAGACTTTTGTGCTTTAGTTGGAATTGATCATCGCGGTAGTAGTACACTATCGGATGAACAGTGCACTGATCATTATTATAATGAAATGATTGGGCAGCATCTTGAACAATAAAAGCATAATTCTCGGAAAAATCCATCTGGACGAGAACGTCACCCCTCCGAAGGCTCTCCTTTCTAGCAGATATATAGGTCGCCTGCTGCTTTGCAATGAAATGATGTGGCTTCAGAGCAGATAAACACCTAGAGAATTCATCCAAAAATTCATCCGTTGCCATTTTCTGCGTTCGCAGAGTTGATCTATCCACTGTCTGCCACAGCTTAAACTCCACTTCCTCGATGTCAGCCTTGTCGAACAACTCCATAAGTCGGGTAGTAAGCGGCTCCACGCCAGGGCACAACTTGCACTCGTCCAAAAAACAGCCTGCTCCAGGCTCAGAGCAAACAATATTTTCGATGCAGTCTTTATATGTTTTCAGGGGCTGCTCTGAATCTGCTGTCAATTTTGACAAATTTGCAGCGTCCACCATGAGCTTGAAATTTTGGTGACAAGTACAAACGTACACACAATGCGTGCCGCTTGCCCCCGCCAGGACACAGTTCGGCGGGCGAAGCTCGGCAAATTTGCTGAAGCCGATGTGATTGTTGGGATGCTTTGCGATGTATAGACGATGTAGCTCTTTCAAGTTTGAGAGAACAAGCCGCTTTTGGAGAATGGTCTTCTTGCCATCCACCTTGATGGACACAGTGTCCTTTGTGCCAGGCATAATACGGCTGTTTTCGTCATCCTCATAAAAGGAGCGCACGATCGACCCTGTCTCATCTGTCAGATGACGTCCAGGACGGAATGTAGGGAAGGAAAACACGCCCTGAGTAGAAACAAGCCCCTTTGCTACCTTTGCCATCCTCCTGGAAGTGCCAAACTCCTTGGCGATTTTACGTTCACTCCAGGAGCTTGGAGCGATAGTTAGGATACACAGACGTTCAGCTCTTGTTGTGTTATTGTCCGAAAATTTCAGTTTCAGATTTTCCACCATCTCTCCCAATTGTGCCTGTCTCAATGTTACCGGATTTTCTATAGTTACAGCTTCGTCTTTCGAGGAATCACTGCGATATTCCTCTGTGCCAATATCATCCTCTGGTGGCAAAACAGGCGTAGCAGTAATTTCAGGTCTGGATACAGTAATAAAACGCTCTACATCCAGTTTGCGGCATTTTGAGCAAATCATACGCTTCTCATCCATCCAAGGAATTTTCCGGCGTAGAGCCAGAGAAGGGTGCCGAAGATCGCGCCCTACATGTCCCTTTTCTCCCGGCAACTTGAAGGGATTCGCACACCGATCATGATGGGGCATGATACACGGCTACAGTATAAATGTAAGAGAGTGCTCTGACACCAGTAAGTACAGTAAGAATGGAAATAATTGCAGCAAATTTTTGGTAAATACAAATATTCACGAGTTGTCGTGAAGTTACGTTACGTTCCAATAGCAGTTTAAATATGTTTAAATAACAGGAGTGACGAGTCAAGTCCGAATTAGGTACGAATTGACTTTGGACACCTCACGTGGTAGGACCTTGAAGCTCTGGATTCAGGACTGCTAACTTCAGATAATATAATCTCTATCTTATGTGGTTGTGTATTCATGTACGAACACTATTAGGCGAATTTTGGCGTGCCTCTGGTATAGCAATCAAAAGCAACCGTGATTGAGGCTATCTTTGTCTTTCGATCCCTGAAAACGAAGATAGGCTTAGTCGGAAAGCCTGTGGTAAGCAAAGATTGATTGAACTGGCTGCACTGGGTCTTAAGCGGGGAGCACAGACTTTTGCATAACGCATAAACCATATACATAAAGAATTTGATTGGTCCATTGACTCATGCATAAGAAAATGGACCAATGAAATTCCTTATGCACATGCTCTATGCGTTATGCAAAAGTCTGTGCTCCCCGCTTTAGAGTGCAGGGAAAACGGAAATGTGAAATAGCCGGCAAAATTAAAAAAAGCAAGCATTTCGAAGACAAGCAAACACAACCACTTGTTTCTAATAATTCGCATCTATAATAAATAATTTCAGTTTCTTTATCCACCATTTTGTAATTTTTTGCAGCCTAACCAGTTAAACTAGTTCTCGTTTGTCCGAACACCAAACTGCACCGACAGAGCTGTCAGTGCGATATTTCTCGAACTCGTTCGGTTCATTCGGTTGGTTCGAATATACAAATTCAGCCCTACACTTAAGGTCAGTTTTCATTTGGACGAATACGGTAATCTAAACCGCATTGGTTACGGTGCGCACAATCCGAATACGTGGCACCGAAAAAGGTTCAACACCCAGTGCGCGAATTCGCCATAAGTAAAGCCAGCGGCACACGGTGCTTGTTTTCCTGCTGGATTGCTAGCTAGATCAGATTCTTGCCATTGGATTGGCTGCGATATTGGCACTTTCAGCACCGCAGCCAATACGGTGGCAAGATTCTAATCCAGCTAGCAATCCAGCAGGAAACCAAGCACCGTGTGCCGTAGGCTTTACTTTGGGATTTGCTCAATTGACTACGGTGGTGACAGGTGGCACGAGAGAGCGCCAACAGCGCATAGCGGACTGTCGTTCACGACTTCACGTGTCATATAGCACGTATACGTCGGCGAACGTCGCCTACGTTGCAGCTTGCGGAACGTCATTAGACACGTTTCGCGAATATCGAGATAACGTACGTTCTCGTAAATCAGTACACGCATACACGGTGTCGTGTGTCGCGGAGTCTCTCAGCCCGTTTCTCGCACTTCTTCTGTCTGCGTCAAACCACACTTGATCAGCACTCCTGGCTGAGAGAATTGAACGAGGGAGAACGATGGCGCCGAAGCAGCGGATGCGCATCGCAAACGAGAAGGCAACGAAAAACATCACGCTACGTGGAAACGTCCCCAAATCTTCGGTAAGTAATCCCTTCGTCGAGTCGCCCGGCTGCACGTCCTCCAGACGGGCCTCCCGAATGCGGTCTCGTGATTCTCGAGATTCAGCCGGCGAATTGCCCTTCTCGATTTTCTCCGGGACTTTCCGAGTGAAAAATTTGTACGCGGAGGCACACTTGGACGACGTTTCAGAAAATGACATATGGACGAGGGTTGAAAGTAGACGTATCGTGTATGTCGCGACGAATCGCGACGATTCAATTCGTCCGTTCGCGAGGATATCCTGTGTAACTGTCAATCGGAAGTATCGAGGTTAGATGTTCACTCCTAATAAATTACTGTCAAATCACGTCGGACGTTCGTTTTCTTGTTTGCAAATCATCGGAATCGCCTGTTCCAACGATTATCTAAGGTGAACCAACAAATGGTTTATCTCGCGGCAAAAGAATTCTTGCATCTGTCAACAGATAGTATCTGCCATATGTGAAACTAACGATGGTTGCGTTCAGCAGAGAAAGCAGCTTTGCAACTACTGTAAAATGTAAAACTTTTATGTTAAGACGAATTAACGTTGATAACTTGTTTGTTACAACGTTTACTAATTGCTGGAAAACATCTGTTACATTTATAATATTATCCAAGTCCTATATCTTATTTGTTTATTCAGGATATATAGTTTTCACACTTGATACTTTCATATACATATTACGTCTGAAATCAATATATCTACATAACTAAGCAAAAACTTTTGTTATATTAGAAATCGCAAGAGGAAGGATCTCCGGTCGGACCTTGGCTCTTAGCTCTATTTCTCTTTGTTGTTTGTGGGTCTGGTAAGTACTTACAATAACCTAGGTATAAAGGTAGATTTTCACAAGCTCCTCAAACCAACTGTTTTCAGTGACAAAAAGGATCAAAATTAACGAATATTAAGCGTCAATGTTTGGATCATGTAATCGTTTTTGTCACTGAAAAGACCAGATTGAGCAACTCGTACCCTAACAATTTGAAATAAAACTTTTCTATTTCCTCTCTTGTCTCTAGGTTTGTTTTTTTATTGCTGCACTAAACTGCAAACTTTTCGCATTCACTAAATTGCAAATATATCTATTTTACTTTAAACATAAAAGGTATACACAAGTTTTTGAATAAAAAACAAATCTCTTGATATCAGGAAATAAACTCTTCTCTTTTTTCTCCAGTTGTTTTATTGTAACAAAAAACGTTAATATTAAAATTAGTAATAAAATTAAAAATGTATTAAAGAGCTGATACTTGTAGCCAATTCTTACATTTAAGATTGTCTTAAGATATCAACTGGCATCTACTAGCATCTTAGGCTGGTATTTCATAGTCACGACTTGTTTCTCGGTTTCTTGCTACGAGAAAACAAAAAGCAAGAAACAGAAAACACAGATACATGTTAAAAGAATTACTATGCTAAAAATGAAGAGTTGTCAATAATTTTACATGCAACTTTTGTGCAAAATGTATATAAATTTGTAAACTTATCTTTTTTCAATTTTTTAAAATTTATATCTGAAAATTTAATGTTTTCACAGTTCTCCACATGAAACATACTTCATCAAGAAACGACATTGTTTGTTACAGCTGTATTTCAAATCATCCAGAGTATCAGAATGGCTTGAAAATGAGGAAAGAGAAGCTACTGTTGATATTATTACAACAAACCATTTATCATTCGTTAATATTTGAAAGAGACTGATGAACCGTTTCAATGTAGATTGTAAAGAAGATTACAGATTACGAGAGACGGAATATGGCAAAATTTAGACAACAGTTGAAAAGTCATTTTCCTTTTGCAGAAGAAGCTCAGAGATTTATTTATAACATTTAGCATTTATATAAACGTTTAACTTAACTGCGCTACACATAGACGAAGGGAACGTGTTTGAACGTGTAAGATAAATGCTATTCCAAAAAACAATCCATCAAATTTATAAATCGAGAAAGAGAAAACTATTTATATTGAATTTATTATTTTATTTCCAATATAACGTTTCCATTAATGTGTTAACGAAGATGTTTTATGTTTTCACCTAAATGTATTCTTTCGTCTATGTGTATGTAATAAATAATTGTATATATACACGAATGATTTATCATGCAGATTTTTCCTCAAGCAGATCTGCCAAATAGCATGTAAAACTCAAATCTGACTGGACAGATCTGTTTTAAAGCATTCCACTATAAGCAATTGGTAGCTTTCTAATGGCCTTTAAATAAAGCTTTTGTACTATAGAGTCATTATACATATAATATACTATATATTATAAATCTGTTATATTATAGTGTATATTATAAATTTCAAAAATTGATTTGTGTATATGAAATATTTGCTACTGACGGTGTACACATTGTCTCTTTTAATAAGGAATATTATTAATAAAATTATATATTGTTTTACATGAAACATGTTTAAAGGCGATCGTTTCTCTAAAGCAGTCCTTTTATGTGATTAACTCTTTCGCTATGGCAGTCCTCTCTGTTGGAGCGACATGAAAGTGTATACGTTGAGCTTAGACAGTCTTTAGCGTACGGACAGTGCAAAGAATATGCTTATGTTTAATATCCTTTTTCACTTTCTTTTAACATTTTAATTTTGTAATTACATTGTATATTTTGTTATGTTAATTGTTTTTGTTGATGTTCAAATTTCTTTTCTGAAATTCTTTATTGGAATATTGAATTTTCAAATGTCATTATGCGACACGTATTGCCGATATCAAATCAAATGGAAATTTATTCTAAGTTTTGTACACACAAAGGTACAAAAAAAAAAAAGAAAAAATTACTTCTTAAATAAGAACTACTATATCCAATATATTGGACACATTTAGAAGAAAATATCCTAAAATATGGTAGAAAATCCGACCATTTCTTTGGATATTTGGCTGAATCAAATGCATTCATGAATGAGAACAAGAGCGAACATTTCCATTAATGTCAAAGAAAAATGTATCTATCACTATTCAAACATATGTGTACACTGATTAAAAAACATCATTCATACTTGTACATTAATATACAATATTTACTGAATAAGTTTTTTTTACAATATGTTAAGGAGAATATATATATTTTATGACATATAATATATTTCACATTTATATATATTACTTACGTATCATATAAAATTAAAAAAAAATATATTTTACATTAATTTGGAAATTTATTTGTAGAAACCTATATACATATATATACACACACACAGTGTCCGGGAAAGAGACAAATGATGCTTAAGGGAGATTCTTGAGATCATTTTGAGATGAAAACTCTAATGTCAAAATGTTGAGGCTACAATAACTTTTGAATTATAAGTGTTTAAAAATTAACGAATCATATCGTCTAAAGATGGCACGCTCAGGAACGGCACAACGCAAAATACTAAACGGTGAAAGCTGACTTATCGGAAATTGTTTTGCACACAACTTCACGAACTCTCTTTACGCGTGACATTGGCCTCTTTGCCATATTAAGTAATAAGAAATATCAATGTACAAACAATTACAATTGTTCATAATTAACGATTTTATAATATTCATATATATATATATATAATATATTGTTACGTAGTTCCCAAACTTCTGGTAAGATGGGATGCAGGTTAGGTTGCCCTTCACGCGGTGCTTGCCGGCGTAAATCCTCGGTAGCGGCGTGATCGGGACACTGGTCTTTTAGTTCAATTACTTTATTCGATAAACGCACAATATAACAGGATCTTAATAATGTCGCCTTTCCGAATAGCTGCGCTTAACAACGTAAAATAATATAATGAATAAAAATGTCGGAACGACCGTGTATAACCGAAGTTGAGAGACGAAAAAGCGTTGTGTTGAATTTAAATGGTACAAATACAAAGGTATGCTCGTCCGGTGGTAGGCCACTGCGCGGGAATTGGAGTGGTGGGGGAGTCTACATGTGACGTCATCACTTCGGCTGTTTCCGGAGCGGTTCGTGTAGGTTCGGCTCCTTGAAACAGGGCCGCTATTTTATCCAGTCTTGAAGACTTGTACGCGATCATTCATCGTAAAAGAGAAAACAATTAGACAATTAGAGAGACAATTAGACGTGATCTGGCCGTATTGCCTTCGCTTGGCGCTTGTGTATTCTAAGGAGGCAGGAGCAATTAACTAAGAAGAAGAAAAACGCGATCATTCACGGCAATTTCGATTACAGGAAAGAGGACGGCATCGGTCGACTTTTTTCAGGTCATTTTCATGTTTCTCTGATAGTATTATTGACGGTATTGATATTGACACACGCAATCACAAAATGTCCAACATGTTTAATTTATATGCTGAGTCTGATAAAGGTGAGTGAAATGTCTTTCTCCATGTGACTAATTTTTTTTTTTTACATCGCGAAACATGTACCTATATCGTATGTCCGGCATACATTTCCGTTGGATATATAAATTTTAAACAATTTAGATTAAAAATCTTTGGCTTATAAAAAATGATTCTTTGTATGGGAAGAGCATTGTAGGAGAATTGTACACTCTTATTTGAATCAAGGGATTATTTTGAATAAGAGATATGTTTTACTATAATATATAAAAAATATGTTGGATAGAGAACATTAATCAGTTAAGAGTCGGTTGATTTGGCCTTCTGGAAAATTTTACCTGTTAGGTAAATCTGACGATCCGTGATTGGATAATCTTACTACTTACCTAATAGGTAAAATTTACTGAAAGATGAAGTAATCGATCCTAAAAGAAATGTTAGAAAATGTATTTAATATGTTAACCTGTCTGTAGGTCAAACAAAGTCTATGACACCATCTAAAACATCTCAGGAAATTAGATTAAATCCTTCTAAGACAATGGGAGGCACAAAACCAAAAGGACTATCTATAAGATCTAATTCTGATATGAATATACCTAGCGTATATTCGGCTAAAAAGAATACACACGTTAAAGAACATGATTCAAAATTGAAAATGACACAAATAGATATTCAGGGACGTCCGATATCTCCAGGAAAGAGGATAGAAGAAAGGGTAATTAAAAACTTATAATTGCAAGTGTATTTTGATAGATTTTTAATATATGTATTGAATATATAATATATGTTATATACAATTCATATGATAGAATTTTCTGTTAAGGAGATACTGGACTGATAGCCCAATTTAATCAAGGTTGATAGTACAGACCTTTCTAATTCCAAATTCGATAATATATTGACATCTTTTATTCATTTCTTATATACATAATATCCTTGTATCTGACTCAAGTGCATTTATCTGTCCTTATCTAACATATTGCAATGCCGATCGAGCAATCGACGAGCACCTACTGTTAGACATAATTGCTGCTTAATTTCAAGACTTTATGTCAATTTTACTTGTATATCAATAAAATTTTTCAATACTCATTCCTCTTATACTAAAGCCCCTACCTTGTTTCTACAAGCATAGGATTGTTCCCTCAGGTTTTTTTGCAATTTGTCAGCTACTTATTATGAACGTGCAAGGTCTGAAACTCTTATATACAGCACATATTGTGTTAAGTCAACTGCAGAAGCCAATAACAAAACTGTGTCTTCAATTTTCTTTCGTTTTTTGTATTAAATTATAGTGTACAAATTGTGTTGTTGTCGATATTTTAATTGTGGAGAAGGACTTTTTAATCCATAAATACAATTAAGAGAAATGAGTATTTAAAAAATTAATGGCAAAACAGGGCACTTCAACATCCTCTTAAATCTTAAAGAATCTTTAGGAAATTAAAGATATATAATCTTTGGTCACATATTAAAACTTTTTTTATAGAAACAAATTGGACAGTCTAATAAAACTTCAAAAAAACCATTAAATGATGTTTTTAAGAAGCCATTGCTGCCTAAGAAGAATATCAAAAGGCTTCCACAAATGGAAAAATTGGCATACTGGCATGATGACCAATATGATTTTGGTATAGATAATTATTAATATTTCAGATAGAAAAACAGTAACTTAAAACTGATATGCTATTAATATTTTATAATGAGAGATTCTCTAATAAATAGATTTTTTAATACAGATTATCGATACATTGATACTGTAGAAAAAGAATTTAAAGATCTATTCTCCAAGAGGAAAGAAAACATGAAACCTGACAAACAGAGTGTACTTGTATCAGGTGTGAAACTTAGTGTTATGTAATATTTGTAATATGTAATATTAATTTAATTATCAACTATTTGTTTTTTTTAGATCCGGAAACTTTACTTTTGTCAAATATGGAGAAGCTTATTCCTGATAGAACTTTTGATGAGGAACACATGAAATATTTATCTCCTAACTTACTCCAAGTATCTGATATATCTGATGATGAAATTCGTAATGATAACTAATAATAAGAATTATTTTAATATTGTAATTTCATAATTTCTTTTGTAAAAATATGGACCGAACTATTATAATTTATTTTCTGCGATTAGTATATATTTTTATGAATGGGGCGACAGTATTAGCACTTTGTGTCATCCTATTCTTGTTTTAATCTAATAAACAATGAAAATAGAATGATATAAATAGTGCTGATAGTGTCTCTCCAAACTCACCCTATATTGATAATTAAATATTAGAGCACAATAATAATTAATGACTCATTAAATTATTCTAATAGATTAATAAAAAAATTCGACAAAATGTTTATATAACAAAGTTAACATATAATTTATATGCTTTTTGACTTTTTGTGTTACTCACATCTCTTAGTTATTTTAAATAATAAGTGTCCTTTTATTCTTATTAGTATATGATACATAATATCTTAAAACAATTACATTGTAAATTTACATTTGAATAAATCGTTTATAAAGGACAATGCACCTTTTATATGAAAAAAACGTTTTCAGTCAATTTCCTTGAATTTTTTATATATTGTAGTTCTTACATCCCTAATGAAAAATCTTAAATTACAGTTTCTATGCCTAGTTTTTGAATTAAAGATTTGAAAGTTTTTTATTGTACGTTTGCCTACACTTGAGTGTGCATTTGTGCGTCTACATACAGTTTCTTTTAAAACGTGCGCGCGTTAAATAAAAATGTAATTAATGTTGATTTATATAACATTTTGTACATCAATTTGATCATATTAGTTGTTAATAAGCTTTAAGCCTCTACATCGCATTAAGGATTATTGCAGAGGTTTTTTTGTATTCGTTTTTATTTTAATTTTTTAATTAAAAAAATTTTTTATTTTTTAATTCTTTATATTATTGTTATTTAATTTGAAGAAGTTTTCTGGAAAGTTTTAGCTTTAAATTCAATAGCAAAAAAAGTTATGATAATTTATATACATGTTGCAATATTGCGTCAGATGTTTCGCTGACGTAGCATATAAATTGTCATAATTTTTTTACTTATTACATTTAAAGATCTAAAACTTTCCAGAAAACTTGTTCAAATATTCAACTATAATGTATTTAACACAAATTAATGAAAATTTTTAATTCGAAAATTCGTAACATAACTTTACATTTGAAAAAAATTCACTACACTCGATAAAATATCATTAAAAATCCATCATTTTGTTGTAAAGTGCTTCCAAAATTTCGGAATAGCTTTACAAGTCACAGAATATGTCAAAGATTATAGTGTAAAAATTTGAACAATAAATATTAATATCCGGCTGAAATTTCGCGAGTTGAAGTGCTGCCGTTCTGCCAACACTACTTTTTTCGGTTGTACTAGCAGCAACATTTTTTTTCCGTGTAATTTATCGAATTTTTGTTTACGTGCCAAATACAAAGGAAAAGCAACAAATATATTTTTAATACATAATAAACGGTAACTATTCTAACAGAATTTAATTTTCTTTCTCAAAACAAATTGATATTTACGACTCAACAATTTTTTACCACATTCTTATAAAATTATTGAAATTATTCGTTTTTTTTTCTATGCACAAAATGAAATTCACAGAAACACAATTATCTAGGATAATACATCGAAAAGTGAATTTAACACAAAATGACTATATTTTTTATTTAAAATTAGTTTATGTGGTACATTTATATACATAAAAAATTTATGACTATTACATTAAACTTATACAATATAGACAGTATATCCGTGCACGTATATATGTGTGTGTGTGTGTGTGTGTTGTGTGTGCGCGCGCGCGCGTGGATGTGTGCGTGCGTATGTACTAACATAATAATAGAGCTCTATATTAAAATTCACATTTATATATATATATATATAATATATATATATATATATACTCGGTGTTTGGATGAACTTAATAGTCATTTACATCTAATTTGTATCATAACTTGCCATAGGTGGTAATATCGGAATGTCATAAGTTTTTGCTTTTTCTTTTGTACCAAACAAAATTTGCGCAAAACGTTCAATTATTCAGATTCCATCCAAGCGACGCAAAACTTTAAAAAATCAAAATTTATCTTTATACTACGTATGATGGTTAAACGTGACAATTTGTATTTCGCCTTATAGAAAACCTTGAAAAAACCTTATCAGTTATCTCAAACAATGTTTAAAACATTACGTCTTACATTAATTCTATATTTGGCATTGAATGCGTTTGATCAGAGTACATTTGTAATCTTTATGGTAAACCTTACATATGTTACAAAATTCAGAATCTTTTTAGATGCTTTTAGCAGGATACAAATATATATATTTTTTTTCGAAAGTTTTGGTTGCTTGGGTACGATCGTATAATAATCTATGACGACAAAATGAAGCATATTTGGAGGGAGATAGGAATATCGCGAATAAACGCGAGGATGTGATGTTCGTAGGCCCGTGAAAAGAATACGCAATATTCTTTTATAAACTTCGAAAAAAGTTTACCATCTTGACTGAGCTATGTATATTTTTCATTTCAAACGACACAACAATTACGGGGTAACAGTATCGCCGCTGATGATAAACTTATTCTTAAATTATAAACAATTAGATATACACGCATGTCTGAAGTTATCTTTCGATAATGTTACAATAGCGTGGATTGTTGTTTCAATTTACAGCGTTTTTTTTACTGGCAAGGCTAGTGCGCACTCGGTGCATATTAAAGTCGTTATACACTACTATAATCTGATGTCAAAATGAGATATCCTCAATTGATAATTATGCTTACTGTGTATTTTTTGTCAAATAACACAATAAAGTATATTAAAGATTTTATGGTTTTATTCATTTTTCAATTTTTATATTAAACATATATTTCTATGTCAATTTCTGGACAACGGCATTAAATAGTATACTGAGTGCGCACTAGCTCTGCCAGTGAAAAACGCTATTAATGATAGATTGATGTGCCTACGAAACGTCATTTGTTCTCTTTTTCCCTTCTTCTTTCTTTTATATACGCTCATTAATTAACTTACTGTATACACACATAGGCTGAACTTGTATCTTTATACTTAATATACATCAAGTCAATTTTACACGTTTCTTCTTCAGTGAATTCTTCCTTTTTATCGGACAAACATTTAACAGACACTTGAGATTCTTGCGGTACACGCAAATATACAATATACATACATATATATATCGGTATATTTTATATATATAATATATACATACATCTGGTGTGTGTGTGTGTGTGTGTGTGTGTGTGTGTATATATAATGTGTGTATGTCATTATAAATGTAATTCTTTATTCTTACATGATTAACAATATATAATATATGCATCCTCGTGTAATTCGTTTTATCAATAGATTCTCCTTTTATATTCACTTTTGTTACTTTTTTAAATTCTTTTCTTTTCTTCATAAAATGCATGACACAAAAATAAATGCTTATATTTGTAAATTATATTTACCTTCTTTTCATCTCTCTTACACACATATTCTCGCAATGTATACACTTAATAACCATATATAGCTTATTTTCTTCTTTTTACAAAATATCACAAAAATCACACCAGCCTTTGTTCGCAGCAAGAAACCATGTTGTTAAAAATCTCGTTAAAACGATATTCTCGGTCCATTCTGCGCATCGCTTTCTTCTCGCGTTTAAAAACATTAATATATGTAATATTAATGATATATCGATGCGATTCCACGTGCTCATGGGGAACATACAGTCACGTCATGTAAATTGTCTTTGGCAGTGATTTGCACGTAACAGACAGACGAAAAATTCCAGCAAATATTTGCAAGAGCTTCGAGTTATGTATTGTTAGAAATTTCGAAGAAAACTCTCAATTGCAACGTTAATTACCATACGCGTTTTTCATTTATATTTTAAATATTTCTTAATCAATATGCACTTAACAAATATCCTGATTTCGTCAATTTTATGTTTTACAAATAATCATATGTTAAATTAAGTTTGGTCAAATCGAATTATTCAAATTGCAAGGCAAGCTTGAGTCAAATTTGTACAAACATATAAATATAATCGGATAAAGTACGATTACAAATAAAAACATGTATCTCTTAGCATTTCGGTATGACAGACATGTTTTGTCATGTTTCAAGTGTCTTTACCACGTGCACGTGATATCGCATATATACGTTTGCATATTATTCGCGCACACGATATAATATCGCCTTAGGATTTACAGACATCGATTTTTCTTTTAATATTATTAATAATTTTGTCGCTTAAGATTCGAGATAAGTGTTCACGCACTGCGGAGCTATCGTCATTTCATACTCTGAATGTCCGAATGAAGAACAAGAAAAGCAAATCGGACGACGAAACAATTAAAGCGCTAGTGACCAGCACGACGCGCGTGTCTTCACTGAGTTTCGGTCACACGTGTTGAAAGTGAAAAAAAAATAGGTCTTTATTTTTTTTTTCTACTGCATTTCTTGTGCCGTTCACTTTTCCCTTCTTTTCCCTTCAACATAGAAAAAGAAGAAACTTAAACGGTACAAGGAGTTGAAAAGGAAATAGATCAAATATATTTATACAAACGTTAAGATTTTTTTATAAATATAGTTGTCTAATTGTTCTTATTGCATGATCTCTTTTAGCGAGGCCTGACGTACACGCGAAAATCTCTCTAATCCGGAGAACATTTTTACATTTCTTTATATGTGCATCGATTAAATAGTCTGATACCTCCAGGGAAAAATCTGTGCATGTTGTGACTTGTCACTCGTGCACTATTTATCCAGAAAGAATCGCTTGAAGTTATACTAATGTGTCGGTTCCTTTTTTACAATTTTATCAAACTGTTATTTTTAATAACTGTTATTTTGGGAGAAACTTCTTCAGATCGCCACGTAGAGAACTTTCATATATAAAATATAATTAATTTTTTTACATTGTACAATATACATATATATATATTTTTTCTATATTATCGCGGAACTTTCTCTCTTTCTCGATTTTATTCATTTTATCCATTATAAAAGAGAAATGAGAAACAGTATTCAGCGATTGAAACTTTAAACTGCTATCTTGCCATTAAACTTGTCTTTTAGAATCTTTACTCAATCTTCTCATTTAATGATTTATTATAATAGGGATGCCCAACTAGTTTCTCTGAAGAGCTCGATTTTAAAAGTTTAACTGTATTTCACTTTACCTTTGAAAACTATTGAGTTCTTTGAATTGATAATTT